TGTGTGTGTGTGTGAGAGAGAGAGAGAAAGAGAGAGAGGGAGGGAGGGATGGAGGGAGAGAGAGAGGATTGCAGAGTTTTATAATATATTTGTAAGTGTCTTATAATGTAACCACCCAGAGACCTTTTGCTATTGGGCAGCAGTATAGAAATATAATCAATGAAAAGAAATGAAGCAATATGCTGATAGTTCATTATGTTTAGCAAGGATGGCAAAATGGAACTTCCATGTCCAGAGGCGCTATGGGAAGACAGTTAACTGACCGTGCGGCCTACTTTACAGGAGACAGCTCTTTGCTTATGGGAAGCACTGTCCTGTCCAAGTTTGGTTTAAAGATGAACAGTGAGAAAGGAGACCGCAGGAGCGCGGCTTCAGCTCTGTGGAAGCCACTGTTCTGCATGCACCAGGCACTGGGTTCATTCTGGTGTCTCCCGGTGCCACCAGGAAGGGCTGGGAAAGACTTCCGGAAGCTGATGCTGTCCAAGCTGGCTTGCATCATTATTTTCACCCTCAGGGGCTTAAGCCAGCCAGCCCCTGCACTTGTGTTACTGCACCATCCAGACCTGGGCAGGGTGGGCTGGTGGTGTGGCTGGCTAACTCCCCGCCATCCTAAAACAGCCCATGGGTTCCCTGGTTCGGCAAACCCAGCCTGATTCAGCGACTGGGTTCAGAGAACCCAATAACCTTCACTCAGGTGTTATTAATAAGCCCAAGAGCCCTCGCTCAGGGTTTCTGCATGTGGGCTGTTACTGAACCACCGGTTCTCACGCTGTCTGAATGCAGATGTGCTAACAAGCCATGGCTAGTTAACTACAAAGAGCCCATGAAGACAACAATCTTGTTGGATTGTGAACTATGAGTTGCTCACCATGGTTTGTTATCTCATCTGGGTTCAGACAACACGGTAACCCATGGTGTAATCTCAACCCACACTCAACCAATGGGTGGGGTTATCATCTCATCTGAACCCAGCCAATATTAGGAAGTTTCCTGTTCCTATGCAAGAGAAAGCCGGAAAGGTCCTAGAGATCAGACATCAGCCAGAGAGCCACACGCAGGCACAGTCCAGCCCTCTCTGCCGAGACAGAGAGGATTGCTATTCTCAGCAGGCAAACATAAATGTGCTCGTATACATAGAAATCCACACATGCAGATTCTACGTACATCTGCCTCTGGTTTGGTGTCTTTCCTGGCACTGCACTAAGCAGCCATTCCCTGCTCGTATTCCCCCAGGAGGTATATGGCCTGCCGGAAGACGGCCATTAGATGGGGCTACCCTCCTCAGATACGCTCCAGGCAGGTTGGGCTACAGCTCACATCTGTGGGGTGCCAAATCAGGAAGGCAGCACTGACATGTGAGCCAAGTGTTCCTCCCCACTTTTTAGCCACTTAAAGGGGTACTTAAAGGAACACCCCCTTTATCGTCAGGGTAGGAGCGCCATTCTGACTGCAGCCTGCCCCAAACTGGGTCTCTCCAGATGTTTTGGACCACAGGTTCCATCATCCCCAGCCAGTGGGATGGTGGGTGTTGTAGTGACAACACCTGGTGGCACCCAGGGTGGGGAAGGCTTCTGTACTGATTGGACTGGGGAAGGAGAAAGCCATTCCCATGAGCTACCTCCAATCTGCAGCTTTTACCTCGGAAGTTAGCTCTGTTTAAAAAGGAAGAGCGAATAATAGAAAAAACTCCGAGGAGAAGTCCGACAGAGGCTGCCCTCCGCCAAAAGTCATTCAGGTTTGCTCGCTTGCTTGCTTACGTGCTCTTCTCTGTCAAAGGAATGAAGAGCGTCTCTGCATCAGCACAATGCCCCAGCTTCCCTTCTAAAGGAAACATCACCCACAGTTGTGTGTCTGTGTGATTTGTGTGAAAAAGAAACAGAGCTCAGCCAGGAAATTTCGATCTCTTTCTCCGAAAAGAAACTCAAAGTGTCATATTTATTTTCACTTGTGGTGGCATGCTGGTCTTCCTTAGAAGCCTAGCTTTTGTTGGCCTACAATTCACCCACGGTTGGTGCAGCCCTTATGGGGTGAGCAGGCTCCATAAGTGTCATAGAAGGGCTGGAGGTGGCAAAGACTGGAGCCTCTCCTACACACAAGACAGCCCTCCGGAAACCCACTTGGACTGAGTCAGATCCTCGGTCCCTGTAGCCTCATATTGTCAACACTGACCGGCAGCAGCAGTTCCCAGGGTTTCAGGAAAGATGCTTTCCGGCCCTTCCTGGAGATGTTGGGGACCACACACCCTCCCAATGTCCTGGGAGGGCTTCCATCGATGTCTTCCCTGGGCCTCCTTTAACCAAAACAAAACAAGAAAGCAGGCCACTGAGTCTGCCTGCCATTAGGCTTTCCCACAGTGCACCACAGCTTAGGAGCATTGTGGGAAAATTCAGGGAGGCCCTCAGCCAGCCCTTGCTGCTGGTGCCAGGCAAGCCCACCAGGTCCTACTGACTGAGGAAGGGCAGGGCCCACCGGGCTCTCCGTGGACAAGCCAGGATGCAGTAGCCACCCACCCAGCTGCCCGACATAGAGCAGGGATGGCAAATCCCCCTTAGCCCGCAGGGTGAATTTGGCTTCCGGTGGAGGGAAGGGTTCAAAGCAAAAAGGACACAGGGCAAAGTCCAAAACTGCCAGTGCATTTCGCTTACTGCCAGTAACTAAACTTAGCAGCACATTTCAGCCTTTCACAGTAGGGAAAAAACCTACACAAGGTGGGAAAGGAGCGATCTGCAAGCAGGAAAAGGGGGTAGGCCAGGGAAAAGGGGGTGAGGCTATCTGGGGAACTATGCATGGCCAGACTGGGGCCCCAGAGGAGCCAAATTTAGACTTGGGCCCGAGTTTCAGTCCTGCCGCTGTTGGGAGTGAGAGGTTCTCCAGTTCCCCAGAGCGCTCAAGACGGCACTGCGTCTGTTTCCAGAGGGACAGATGTGTTAGCCTGACGCTGCAAAGACTGCGCCCTCTGAAAACCCCAGAAGGGAACTGTTTCATGCTGGGTTATCTGGTTTGGTTCCCTGCAGCTGCGATTCCATACTGTAGAAGAGGGTGGACAGGTTGAAACTGTCCACGACTGTTACCCCAAGATCGTGGGCAGCCCATGCTCAATGGAGGGCAGGCGGGGACTATACCACGCTGCCACCAACGACACTAGGATGCATTCCGTCCTACCCGCTCCAAAGCCACTCAGTCCCCCCCACCCCCCGCCACCACATGATGATTCACAACACTAACTTCCAAACAGCCTTGTAAGTCATCCAAAACATTTAGAGAAACAGATGTAGAATCAGGCAAGCATCCCCTTTCCTTAGGGCCAAACAACACGGTACATGCATGCGTTGCTTCCAATTTCTTTTATTATTATTTCATAATGGACAAATTGCATTATTGAACAACACACTGGCCAAGGCGGGACGGGGGGGTCCTTCTTAACCCTTTCCCTTCTGGCCAGTTTGCCACTCACATTCACCTCCTCAAGCTACTTTTCACCACAATGGGAAAAAGATACAGGGGTTCCCATATTTTTTCCCCAGAAAGAAGAAACAGAGGTGGGAGGACAGAGAAGAAGGCAAACGGCCAGATACCAGAAGAATTCTGCTCTTCATCTCCGAATCCACTTTCAGACGGGGCTCTTGAGCCTCCTAAGCATGCAAACAGGGCAGATGGACCTCACGGATTTTAAACTCCCTGCCTAATTTGGCCTTTGATCAAGGCCAGCCTGAAAGAACGAAGCGCATGTATGAATGAGGCCATCAAAGGTCAAGCAGTGCCGGTGGAACCTTCATGCCACCGCAGACGCGGCCTGATCAAGGCCATCCGCCAGTTTGCTCACACTCGCTTGCAACTCAGCACATACAAACCGGTGCAGCCGCCACCCTGGGCTAACCCAGCTCTGCCTCTCCCTCGATCCAGCAACTCTTCCAAGGATGAGCAAGTTGCTCCAGTGGGAACTGGAGCGACACACAGGTGTGTCCAGCTTGCTCATGTGAGTGCTAAAAGGGACAGGGGCACGGACACAAACAGAGTCCTGACGCCCAACTTCCTTCCTGTAAACCATGACACGGTTCACTTCCAACCAGGGTGGTGAAAAGCAAAACTCCACCACAAGCCCTGAGACACTGCAAAGGCGGGATGCAAAAAAATTAAATAAATAAATAACCAAGCTGTTCTCTCTTTTTTTGAGGGGGAGCGGTCACTTTTGCCAAGCCAATTCATTCTCACTGCCATGGGTTGTATTCCCTCTCTCTTTCTCAATTATCTCATGGCAGAAGGGTGCCACAAGGCAAGGGCGGGAAGCCCACTGCCCTCTATCCGCCCCCCAAGCCAAAAGATAAAAAGCACTAGAACATTTTTAAACATTAAAAATGAACTCGCTATCCTCTGTCAGTGCCCTGAAAAACAACAATAGCAAATTTGCCACCTCCATGCAGCCTTGATTTTTCTACCCCTATTTTATCATTAAGGGAAAGACAACTAAAACCACCGTAATTTTTTCATGAGCGCAATAGGAAGCACTCCAGGTTGCCTTGAACTTTCAGAGCTCCAGATAGCCCATCTCAGAGGGCAACGGATGTTCCATTTTTCAATCCCATGACACTTTCAGCATGATTGAAGCAGGAGTTTCAAGACATTTCACCCTTCTCACCATGAATCAAAGATGCTTTTCCGGTTTTCCCCAGCTCCCACTTCCTCCAACCACCACCCTCTGGACACCATTCAAGAAAATTGTCACCCTTTACTTGATTATTTTTTAAAAAATAAAAAGATATATATAGAGAGACATAGAAATGGTACATAACTTGGCAGGCATAGTGAAAAAGGGGTTATGGGCTCTCTCAAAAGCCCTCTTCTGTACAGACACATAAGACTTTGGGTAGGGTTGCCCAGTTCTAGTCCCTCCAGAAAGTTCTCCATCTTGGGCTGAGGAAATTCAAAAACACAAGATGACAGGGGGGGAGAAAGAAAAGAAAAGAAGAAGTTAGTGCAGTTTTGAGATTCAAGTCACTTACCAGCCTTCTCTTGGGCTTTATGAGGGGACGGTTCTGCCCATTCATTTTATGATACAGTCCACAGGCGTTACAGAGGTAATGCCCAGTCCCATCTCTCCTCCATAATGGGGTCGAAGTCGCGCCACAGTTTACGCACTCCCTGCCTTCTGGAAACAAGAGGGACACAATTCATTGAGGGGCAGCCAAGCGGGGAATGGAAGAGCTCTTCACAATGTCTCCACCTGGTTTAACTTCCCCTTCCAACCCTCCCTGGCCAAGAGCAGGATGGGACAGGGAGAAGAGGGATGCAGAGAAATTGCTAGGGTTGCTGTCACACCGTTCAGGAGTCACTCTCCGTGCCATCACAGAAACATCCGTTTAGAACTAACACCTGTCGAGTTCGGTGGAGCACATTTCCAGGTAAACGGATATGGGATCGGAACCTGTTTAATGTTTTGTTGATTAGCTCATTCACTCTGCATACATTTGCAGAAGAGTGAAATTATGGGTTGGCACCACACTTGGGTATGCTTAAAGATCCTGGTGATTGTTCACTTAACTCATATTTGAACCCATGCTTCAAAAGACAGTGGAAATCACTGACTCATGATTTTAATTGGTGCACTCTGAGTGTGACTAAGTCTGGATCCATCCCAAGAGTTCTGTAAGAAAACACACACAAGCTACTGTTTGGGTTCTTGTTGCTCTAAGGAAATATCTAAGAAGAAACTCCTCCAGGAGGGAAAAAGAGGAGATACCTCTTCCAAGATAGAGCTTGTCACCCGTAGTGTTTGTATTGGAAACAATTAACAGCTTAATCATATATATTTATACACACAAAGCTTAGATACAGTAGTACCCAGTTAGAAAGAGACTGCATTTGAGTCAACCAGACATTTCTAAATCATCCCAAGCAATTCATTGCTTAAGAACAAGATCCTGTGCATGTTTAAACAGAAATGAAGTCCCGCAGGTGCAGAGCTGTTGTAGGGCTTTTTTCTGCCTGAAACACGCACACCATTCTGATCTCGATGTTATGACTTTGTAAATAATTGCAACTTCCCAGTTTTGCTTCTTTGGGGGCCAGTATGCCATAAGAAAAGCTGATCTACAGCTCAGTCCTATGGGTGTTTACTCAGAAGTAAGTCCTACTGGGATCCATCAGTTCCCTGGTGTAGCCCTTGAAGAGTAGAGTTTATTCATTTATGCATGTTTCCATTCCTAAATTATTCAGGGTTTGGATAGCTAAGTACAATACCAAAATAAACACTCAACAAAATAAAACCATCCCATTGAAAAATCCAGCTGGATCTTCACAGTTGTGCCAAAACTAAGTGAATCCATAAGGCTCAAAGAAGGTGGACAACATTTAGCTAAATATAGAGTCACCTTTCACTGAATTTAGGTCGGAGAATTGGATAAACAGAGATTTGCATAAGAAAGAGATTTTGGCCTCACCGTACTTATTTTTATGAGAAAGGCAGGTGAAATCAAGATGCAGGTTTATCGATAAAATATGGGCAATTAAATTAAAGTGAGAGATCATCGGGCTTTTGAACTAACATTCAGAATGAGTAATACCCTGATGTAGAGAGATACGAAGGTATGCGGTAAAATTGCTGAATTTCTCGCTGTGTATCTTGTATCCAGTACTATATGTGATTTTAGAATGTTTATGCTGGTTTGGAACCAGATTTAGGCTACAATCCTGCACATGTTTAGACAGAAAAAGGTACTCTGGCTCCCAGCATAGAGGACTTTTTTCTGTTTAAACATGTGTAGGATTATACCTTTAGGGCCCAATTCTATGCATGTTCAGGCAGAAAAAGGTCCTCCAGCACCCAGCATGCCCTGGCCAGTTTGCCTGTAATCATCTCTTATCTATGTTATGAATATGTTACTATTTTTAAATAGGAGAAAATGCCCGTTGAAAAAATACGCAATATACAAGTGGATTTCTGCAGTGTGCAGGACAACTAATTATGGAGATAAAAATTAATCCATTCTGCCCATGACCTCCAATCCATCGCAGGCAAAAATTCTGGCAGGATGCTTCGACTCCCTTCCCCCCAAGCATCGCTCCGAGCTTCCCCAGCCACCACCAGGCCTTGCCGAAAGGTGTTTGCTGCAGCACTGCCCAGGCTATTGCCTGGGAGAGAAGATATTGGTAGCTGCCAGGCGCAATAGCTCTGCGTTCGGATTAAGAGCCAGTGTGGTGCAGTGGTTGGACTGGAATTTGGGAGACTCAATTCCAGCCCCCGCTCAGCCATCAAGATCACAGCATGCCTTTGGCCAGTCACACACTCTCAGCCTTGCCTACTTCACAGCGTTGTTGTGTGGAGACCATGGGGAGGAAGAAGAGGAAGATTATGGAGGTCACTGTGTGTTCCTTGTAGGAAAAAAGGCAGAGGATCAATAAAAATGAGAAACTCCCATATCGGTGGCCGTACGCCTATGTACACCAGTTGCTCAGGAACATGAACCAGACAGTGATGTTGAGTCGATGTTCTACTTGTAGACCTCTGTTTGATGTGGCATGCCTCTACCTACGTTTGTGCGTCTTTGGGACAGATGCCCAGCACACCACTCCACAGAATGCGCATGCAGGCCCCAGCACCCAGCAGGCCTGCCGGACTGCCTTTCAAAGTCACTAAATCCATAAAATCACTTCAGTGCAGCTCTCTGCTCCACCACCGTTACTTGACTCTGCTCGATGTACATTCATCACTCAGATCCCACTGTCCTGCCCTCCCTCGAAAGCCAAGTCCCGTCTGCTAAATATATTAGAAAATAGAATTCTACAACGTGCTTCCGGGGCTCTGAAACATAGCCCAGCAACTGCTAACTAGGAAAAAGAGATTATATCCACCGCAGCGGTCTTTTCGTGAGCACTGCTACTACGAAGTACTCAGACTTAGATCTGGTAGAGATAGAGGAAGGGAAGGTGAACACTAGCAAATCACACCAACAAAGTTTGAATATGGCATCCCTCAAAGACGAGGGCAAACAAGCATCGTGGATTTACCAGCGGAAGAGGGAATGGCACAGATAAATATTTGGAATTTGGAGAACAACTTGGAACCTTCAAATAGGGTGGCAGGGCGGTTTGCCGCTTCACGGATCACTGCCGTGCCATGGCGAAGGGGCTTGCGTAGCGGGAAGCTATGAGCTCTGCCGTGCAGGGGCACCCAGGACGGACAGGCCACAGCACAGAGCTCTGACAAAGGATGATCCACCGGGGAAGGAAATGGCAACCCCATGGACAGTATCCAAAGATTGGGTGGACTCCAAGGGATGGTGGAGGACCGGAGGACCTGGAGGAATGTTGTCCATTGGGTTTATTTATTTATCTATTTATTAAAACATTCTTATGCCACCCCATTCGCCGAAGCCTCGAAAGGGTCGGACACGGCTTAGCCACTAAACAAACAGAAAGAGCGGATTTGAGTTTTTTATTTTGTAGGTGTGTGATATCTTATTATAACATGACATTTATATCCTGCCTTTATTCCTCTTGCAAGGAACCCAAGATAGCTTATAAGGTTAGCTTTCTCCCCATTTTATCCTCACAATAACAACCCTGTGAGGTAGGTTAGGCTCAGAGCCTGTGACTAGCCCAAAGTCAGCCAGAGAACTCTATGGCTGAGTGGAGGCTATGACTGAGCATTCCCGTCCAACACTCTAACCACTACGCATCACTGCCTGTAGTTAGAAAAGAGTGGCAAAGAGGCCAAACAGATTCTCTAAACCAGTCTGTCAAAAGGGATGTAAATAAAACTTAGCTCAGATAATGTTTATGAGGTGCTTTAGAGCGCATTTTTGACCATATTTACATTGTTATGAAAATTCGCAGCTGCATTGTCACATGGTTAAGCCTCTTTGCTTCTGTCCTTTTTCCCACTGTTGAAATTTGGTTTGGAAGCTCCATGGGGTGAAGAGCTACCCTTCTTTCCTAATGCTGCTCTATAAATTGCCTCATGCATATTGGTATTGGCATGTTTGCAATTCTTTTGAAACATTAGGTTTTATTCTTTGTGTCATTTTTATAGTAAATTGCCTCAAGAACTCATTGAGAGAAAGGTGATCAAAAAAAATCCCTCAAATAGATGAATAAGAGCATTTATTTGACCTATCTTATCTCCTGCCTGATTTTCCTGTAAGGGACCCAAAGAGGCTTGCATAATCCTTTGCTCTATTTTGTCTTCACAACAACCCTTTAAGGGAGGCTAGGCTGAGATGCAGTGACTGGCCCAAAGTTGTCCAGTGAGAAATCTGGCTCTACAAAGTCCCAGTAGACTAGAAATACCTGATATATGGCCCATCGCATCACCAAGATTCTGCACTCTCTTGGCAACTTTCTCCAGTGCTGAATTAATATGTGCCCTGTTTTACAGCAGACAGCCTCTGTTTGAAGCTGTCCCAGATTGAAGGTCTTTCCAGGTTAAGGAAAGGATAAGGAACCAGGTTAAGAGAGGGGCATTAAGGTGTGCCCATGAACAGGGATCATCTTCATGAACAGTTGATGGCCCCTATCACCACCATCTATTTGAAAGCTTCCGTGACCATCCTGCTCTTAGAGTTACCCCCACTCTGGCGAAATGTGTATTTAAATGGAAATGTACTTCCACTTAAAGTAGTCATTGCACCCAGATGTCAGCCACCACCTCGCAGGGATGTGCAATTATAAAGCAAACCTGCTCGTTCTCCTTTCTGAGGATGCATTTCCTCTTCTTTGCAACACAGAGTGCCCCCCTTCTGCGATGCTGAACCGACAGAGTGTGGTGGTGCTCCTGCCAAGGGCCCAGAGGGACGAAATCCCCCTGGAGCGGCCCTTCTTCTTGCTCCCCTGCCTCTCACTCCAGTCTGACCGCAAGGATGGCGAGACAGAGGGACAAGGGAGGCCGCTGCCTCCTTGCTCCCATCTCTGCCTGCCCGGCAAACCGCGGCAGATACGACACAAGAGCAGCTCCATCTTTAACTGGCGAGGAAGCTGGAACTTCTATCTCTAGTTCCTCAAATGCAGCTTTCTCCCTGCCCAGGTGGTCCCAGAGGGAGGAACGCCATCACAGCACCCGTGTCCCGTCCTCGAAATCATCTTCACTTTCAGACCATGCCAACGTCCTGCCTGCAATATCCAGGCAGCTATTTATTCCCACCCTCCTACTTA